ATAATCTTATATTCACATATGTAATCCTTATATCGATATTAATAAAAGAGGCGATAAATCAGCTTTTGTTTTTAATTCTTTGCGTTGTGCCGTACCTGCATGAGCGCGCCAACTTTAGACAATCTAATTAGTTAACTTTAAACACTTATAATTAAAAAACTATTATAGTCTCAAAATTTTTGTATTGGAACTTTCGTCTTAAAATGATCTCAGGAATCTACCCTTAAGCGTTGATCCGGTTTTTACGGAACACCCTGTATATTATTTTATTTGATGTATAATATATGTAATATATTATACATCTGTAAACCATTTCTTTCATGGTTATTTTACTGCATACTGTCTTAATCATCAGATATCATTAGAACATGATATGTCAAAGGACGATAATAATGTAAAGAACGACATTGAGCTTTGCACGATCTAAATGAGAACGTTTAAAAAATTTATTACATATCTTTTTGATCTGTATATTTTAGTAATATCTGTCGTTGCTTTACCGTTGTAAAATTTTCTATCAAAAAACCGTATATTTTGCCGGCGCCCAAGGCCCAAGCCTCGATGTTCTTTCTCATGACGAAAAAGAGGAATCTCTGTTCCCTCACGGGTATTTTATATCAAGAGCTATGATATTTCAATCACCGTTACACATAAAGAGTACATGTCATAAGTAACAGTTTACTCTGAGAACTATAATTACTATTTGAATTGACGAGCTTACCACGTACGTATTACGTACGCGAAATACAAATAAAACATATTAAAATTTATTTTTCATATAATTTATTACTTTGCGTAATAATTTACATTTAATAATAAAATTAATAAAATTAATAAATGAAATATATCAGCATTTGGAATAAATATCATAGTTTCTTTATACTTATTTCTTCATTTTCCATTTCTGCTTATTTCATTTCTTCATTTTCCATTTCTGCTTATTTCTTTCTAACTCATGGCTTTATTCGCAAAATAATGAGATTTAAAATTATGTTTAATGATATTTTAATAGTGTAAATAAATTACTCGTAACTAATAAGTTAAATGTAAGTATTACTTCGACTAAACGATACCTGCTACTATAAAGTAATCTTGTGATTGCACAAAGGTACTAGCCAAATCGTATATTGATCATCGATTACTGAAAAGACGCAAGTACGGTAAAATATGACACCGCAGACTGTATCACCTTTAAGAGAAAAGCATTCTTAAAAAAGAAGGAATTTCGGAAGAATGTCGCGATAAAATTTTATATTTCTAAGTAATCTTTACCGTGGTGAAGTTCTTTAGAGAAAAGATGTAAATCTTGCCGGCACTAAAAAAATTCGGTTGCATGCTCCGTTGCATCACGTACAGGAGTAGCCTTTGCGATTTTACAGGTAGGTTGTACCAAGAAGAGTTATATCTGCAATAATTTTACATCTCAATGAACATTAATCTCTCGATTTTGAGCAATGACGATTAAAATTATTATTTTACATCTTATCGCCTATTTGCATACTGTGCTCGATCAGTCTCTGGCCTTGAAAACTGAAGTAGAACAAGTGGATCACTTGAGTAATGACGTATAATGTGTATCTCATCGCTTCTAAAACTTCGTTTAACTGCATCGCGATCTCGAAAATGATAAATACAATATTTTAATCTCTCGCTTCAGCCTTAATCAACGCAAACGCGAGTGATACACAAACACGATCTATCTCGAAAAGTGCATGTATCACAAAATAAATTGCAACAACAAATAGACATGTACTTGTAGCAGGGAAACGCTCATCGTAACAGTAACTATTAGTATTTGTACGGCAAAAGTAACGCAGAAGGTGCTTTCAAGAAGCTCCGCGAATCTGCAAACAAATTTTGCGATATATCAACAGTTTCTTTTTTCTTTTTACATTTTAATACAATATTGCATGAAATTACCGTAAAGCTCGCCAGTGTGCGCACACTGAGATCGCAATCTTCCGATGGTATACATCGTTCGGATTAGTAATATTTATTGCGTCGTCACGAACGTTACGAG